TCATAGTAATCCTGGAATACAAAACCCAACTTTTTTCAATTCTTTTTTCCATCATTATTCTGGTAACTAATACAAGTATTTTTCATCATATATTCCCCTAGCTTGCGTAACGTAGTGACAGACAAATATACATTAATAATTAAAACATTCTCTATGATTTACATGTAACCATAGCAATTTATATATTTTCAAGAGGCTGGAGAGTAGGAGAATACACCGTACACATTTAGTGTCTTTATTTGTTGGAGCTGTACATGTCATGTGTTCAGTCTGTACTGCATTACTGAATCTCATTTGTTGGAGCTGATGCCATGTGCTCAGTCTGTACTGTGTGCATGTACATTACAGAATCTGTATCATTTGTTGGAGCTGATGCCATGTGCTCAGTCTGTACTGTGTGCATGTACATTACAGAATCTGTATCATTTGTTGGAGCTGATGCCATGTGCTCAGTCTGTACTACCTTCGTTACTGAATCTGTCTTTTTTTCAAATTACTTTTGTATGCTCTTGCCTGTATGTATGTCTGAATTCTAATTGTTGGATAGATGAGGCCTAGTAGGGCATAATGTCATATGTGTTGACTGAAGGCATATGTCATTGTCAATACATTGTTCTGTAAACATCATAATTATATCTGGAATTAGTTATTCTACTGATGCCTGTTTCTGTAATAATAACAGTGATTAATACTTGTAGACAAATAATTAAAATATGAATGAGTTGATAGAAAAAAGATAATCTAGTGTTTGTGCCAATATTTAAGGCCATATCCACATATATTCCCATTTGTGTAACATCTGTCTCATGACATACATTGTATCATGTTGAGAAAGAAACAATACATTAACTACAAAGGTCAGATATCATGTTTGAGTATTTGCTCTGTTGTGAACTCTAAGTGTAAATAAATGGGATGGCTTTTTGATTTTTTTTTACATGCAAGCACACTCATTACTCTAATATTGTTACACCACTGTACATGTCAATGTGTCATCATGCATGGTGGGTTACTGGTACATGTCAATGTGTTATCATGCATGGTGCGTTACTGGTACATGTCAATGTGTTATCATGCATGGTGCGTTACTGGTACATGTCAATGTGTCATTATGCATGGTGGGTTATTGGTACATGTCAATATGTGTTATCATGCATGGTGTATTACTGGTACATGTCAATGTGTCATCATGCATGGTGCGTTACTGGTACATGTCAATGTGTCATTATGCATGGTGGGTTACTGGTACATGTCAATGTGTTATCATGCATGGTGCGTTACTGGTACATGTCAATGTGTCATTATGCATGGTGGGTTACTGGTACATGTCAATGTGTTATCATGCATGGTGCGTTACTGGTACATGTCAATGTGTTATCATGCATGGTGTATTACTGGTACATGTCAATGTGTCATCATGCAT